CTCCTCTCCTCTCCTCTCCCCGTGGCCTCCTCCTCTCCTCTCCTCTCTCCTCTTCTCTTCTCTCCTCTCCTCTCCTCTCCTCTCTCCTCTTCCCGTGACCTCCTCTCCTCTCTTCTCTTCTCTTCTCTTCTCTCCTCTCCTCTCCTCTCTCCTCTTCCCGTGGCCTTCTCTCTTCTCTTCTCTCCTCTCCTCTCCTCTCTCCTCTTCTCTCCTCTCCTCTCCTCTCTCCTCTTCTCTCCTCTCCTCTCCTCTCTCCTCTTCTCTCCTCTCCTCTCCTCTCTCCTCTTCCCGTGGCCTTCTCTCCTCTCTCCTCTCTCCTCTCCGTCTCATTCCGGTGGTTTCCATGTGAACAGAAATCTATTTTTGGACCCCGTGTTTCTTTTCTTTCTTGTTTCCCTCCTTGTGTGTTTTTTTCTCCTTCTTCTCCTGCTACCTTCAGAAACCTCCTCTTCATCACAAGTGGAGGAAGTGAGGAGGTTATGATGTGATGTCCTCATGGAGACTGACCATGTTTGTTCATGTTAGAGTTTATTGAACCTAACTAGAGGAAGGATCAGCTGCCTCTCCACATGTTGAACTATCACTCGTCATGTTATTTATCGTAACGTCGACACGTCGCTCACACGTTCTTTCATTTGTTTAACGACTGAATCTGACTTTAAGCAGCTTCATTCTTCATCATGAGACAATATTTTGACATAATTCTTCCGTCAATAGAAGCAGCTGTTGATGTGAATCACGTTCATCAACAACAGTTCTGATTTAAGATATTGTTCAAATCATTTATTGACTTGCGAATCTGAGGATTTACAGCTTTAAACTAATATCTTTGGATTTTGCTTGTTAGTCAAAACTTGTGATGAGAAGTTTAAGCATTTAAAATAAAAGAAAAAGTTTATTCCAAATCATGTATTATTTGACAATCATAACTTAAAGGTCCTAAAACATCAAAACATTTGTATTAACATGTATGTCCGTTGTAAGTGCGGGTGGATCATTTTGGATCAATTAGATTTGTAAAGGTTTGTGTTTCAAAACCCAAATACATCTTTGTTTACATCTTGGATCGGTTGTATTTTTACTTTTACTTCTGCATTTCTTTGTACTTTACTGCCAACAACACGTTGATCATCAGGACCAAACATAGTCACTTAGTCGCTCGCTGTAGAAGGCCTGTTGGTGTTGGTGATGCAGGAGAAACACACCAAACAGGCCCTCAAGTCCTGCACCGGGTCCCTGTAATGGTCCAGAGGAGTTGAGTCTGAAGGGTAATCTAGACGTACATATTGGTTCACACAAAACAAACCTCTTTCTCCTCTTTAAACTGTGTACTCCTCTTGGCTGATCCCTCTCTGCTGGAGCGTCTCTCTCCGCATCAAAGAAGTCACCTTGAGTACAACCTTCCCCGGCTGTGGACTATCAGCTCATGAAAAAGGGGATTTTCTTCTTTTAAACGTTGCCAGAGCTGCTGAGCCAGCTCTCCGCTGTACTCCCTTTGAACCGAGTGAGTTCAAATAAGTTTGACTTCAGACGTGTGAGAGCCCAGCGGGGCCTGGAGCGTCACAGAACACGGGTCCTTCTGCAGGACCGGGCCCAGCGGGGCCTGGAGCGTCACAGAACACGGGTCCTTCTGCAGGACCGGGCTCAGAACTTGGTCCACCAAGTGTGTCCCTCAGAAGAACTCAGATATGTGGTCAGTTTATCCGAATATACGTTGGACCGGACGGTCGGGTACAAAAAGAACACGTCCACAGTGTTTTTGTAAAGACTCTCACTGTCAGTAGGCTGGACACAGATCCACTGTTTAACTATTATGAGGTTATTGTTTATTAAAAAACAGAAACAACTAAAGAAGCATTCATCTGGTGATAGCTAGCTACTAACTAGCAGGCAGGTGTACGCAAGTCCTTAGAACGGGTGTTTTAAGTTTAACGTCTTCCTCGTGGCTCGTCAGTAATGAATCTCATCTAGGAGTTTAAGGTTGGAGATCGCAGCATGTGTGTGAATAACATCACCATAGACCTATACAGTGTATACAGTACAGTCCTTTTCCTGCGATAGAATGGGAAGCAGCACAGCAGTAGATGTCTGGCCCTGTGTTGGGATGTATCTACCAGCGATCAACGACCTCATGAGGATCATGACACGGTGACTGAATTGTTTCGTTATTATGGGATACTGAGGCTTGATAAAGATACTTTTATCCTCAGAATTTGGCTTTTTCCGAACCGCTTAATCTTATTTGCTCCAGAAATGTGGACCACCAGGACCACCTGCAGAGTCCCTGTGGATCTACACTCTGACCTCTTTGTATGCACGGAGGAAACCCTAAAGAAATCCCATTTCCTACAGTTTGTTCTGTCCTCGTCTCCTGCTCCTAACAGTCCAATCAGCTCATCTAATCTCCCCGTGATTTAAATGGAAGTGCAGCCCTCTCATAATCCATGTATAATTGTGGTGCATATATTCCTTCAGCTGCGGTGCGTTCATCCCCTCGGGGACCATCTCTGCATTAATAGCAGCGTCCTGACCGGTTCTAATGGTCTTCCTCCAACTTAATGAGCTGATACTGCAATCAACCGAGGCTGGGAGTCTACTGTTTGAAGGGGGGGTTGTGAGGTTCAACAGAAAGGACATTCTGAATATTAATATCTGACTTCAACTTCAAATCTGGCCAATGGCTGGATGTTTGTATTATTAGATAACTTCGTATGACATCTGTGCTATAGTCCCTGTTCGTCACTACAGGACTGCATGAAGAAGCCTTTTCATGGACGTCCTCACTGTCATCACTTTATGACTGGAGTTTGGTTTGTTTGTCTTTTGAGACCATTCGTGTTAAATGAGGACATTTGTTGCTGAATTTAAGTCTTTTACAACCGCAACACATTTGCTCACGTACCTCTGGTGCTCTGTTGCTGTTGGTAATAAAGGTGCCAACTAGAACCACATGGGGCTTTTTGGCGTATCCTCATAGGAGAACCCCCTTTTGGTTCCTTGTAGAACCTTCTCCAGTTGGAACCCTGTCAGAGGGTTAGAGAAACCATCGAGCGATCAGAGCTTTGTAGGAAGGATGAACAAATAGAGACGTCATCTTACTAATGAGCTGCTAAGACTTCCATCCAACATAGTGACAGAAAAATGACCAAAGAATGACGACATGCACGGAAGAATTAGACGCAACTCTACAGGTTTCCATCTGAAATGAATCCAACTCTTAAATCGAGATATTTCTTCAAGTGTGACGAAGCATACGTGAGTCTCTTCTGATTGGTAACCAAAACAACATGACTCAGCAAAGATGGCAAATGGCAATTTCAGTGTGATTATGTACAGTATATTTTCAGCTACTTGTCATGTAACCTCAGCTAATATATATACAGCAACACGCTCTACGTGGCTGGACAATGCTAAGGCTAGCACTGTCGCTTCACAGCATAAGGAGCTCCGGTTCGGTTCCCGGTCTGGACGGCCCTTCTTTGTGGCGTTTGCATGTTCTGCCCGTGTCAGCGGGGGTTTTCTCCGGGTTCTCCGGGTTCCTCCCACTGTCCAAAGAGGGCTTAGGTGGCTTAGGTTAGGTTAATTGATTACTCTTAATTGCCTGTAGGTGAATGGTTGTCTGTCTCTATGTGTCAGCCCTACGATAGTCTGGCGACCTGTCCTTCGACTAATGTCAGCAGTCATCGGCTCCACCCCCCTGAACAGGATAAGTTGTTAACGATAACGGAGGGATGGATGACCCTTTTAAAGCTTTATAAAGACAACATTGTGTCGGTAGCTTGTGTGGTTGGATTATTTACCCGTAGAGGTTGTTGTCAGGTAAACATTGCTAGTGTTGTGCGTTTCAATAATTGACCACTGTCATTGTTGTTCTGGAGACAATCGGCACTGAGTTCTTATGTCTTTAAGGGAATCGAAGGCTTCCCCCCCATTGCCACAGACAAGCCACTCCAGAGCAGTGAGAGCAGTTTATTCGTCTGCTGAGTGATCCTAAGTGTCATTCCAGCTCAATATCCTTGAAAAAAAGGAGCAGAAACCTGTTGAAGAAATGCATCACCTCCCAGTCATCGGAGTCCAAACAGCAGTAATCATGCCGCTCGCCGTCTGTAATCACGCAGCATACATACACGTTGTCATGTCGCCCCGGTTCATACGTCTGCAATCACATACGGTACAACTCTGTGCAATCACGCAGAGCCAGAACCAAAACACACCAACGTGCCATTAGCGTTCTCTCCGGTCTGTCTGCTGCCTCCGCCTCTTCTCAATGAACTCAGCCCCAATGACTGATGAACTTCTGCGTTGAGAAGGAAGCGAGGGAAGAGACGCCACAACGTTTAGCTGGTGATGTTTCAGATCAAACGGATTTGGTTTGTCAGAAACGCGACTGGAAGAAGGATTGACGGCGAGATGTAGTACAGAGATGTAAAGTCACACAGAGGATGCATGTTATACAGAACACACGCTTTGTATTTTCTCTAACAACGAAATTAGATCAAAACTATGCACTCCAGGACATCTTAAAAAGACAGTAGAGCACAATTTATTCATAAGTAACTTGAGAGTAATTGACTAGTAATTAAATGAATTACTTAAAGCTGTATTGATTTTTGTTGGCCACTAGGGGGCAGGAACATCTAAAATAATCACAAAAAGCATACAGCCCTGACGTATAACGTAATGTTAGCAAACAATTGAGAGACAATTATTATTAAAATGCTAAATCTTGTATATCCTCTAATCTTGTTGTGAAGCATTATTTGCCATATTTGATATTTTATAATTGCGTAAACACCAACAAAGAGGTCCTGGAGCCCACTGGAGTCATTGTAGGTGATGAGTGATATTTTAGTTGAGTTAACTGATGAAGTATCTCAGGGATGTGTGCAGTGAATATGCTAGTGGTTATAAAACTACTGTTATGTGGAGATACGTATGCTTTGTATTGCATTGTATTTGTACGCTTGCATAGGTTTTTAATGATTAACATTTATTGTTAACATGCCCAATATTTAACTAAGTATGTTTGCATTCCCTAATGTTTGGTGCAGGAGGAGGAACGTGGGTTTCTGTTGGATGGAAACACTGACACATGATATTATGTAAATTACACTTTGCTGTTTCATTAAAAATAAAAAAACTAGGAGGAAAAATAGAGCAAAGAGTTTTTGTAAATGACTTCTGGAGAATGGTTCCCCCGACACGCTGCTCAGTTCTTCATCTCTTTGAATAGAAGCATCCTGTGGATGGCAGGTGGTCATTAGTTCAGATGATGCTGCCCTCCCTCCTCACAGCCGCTCAGCAGCATCCTGTCAAACAAAGAGTCCATCAGCAGAGCCGTGGGTTCGTCACTTCAGCAGCGTGAGCCGGCGCTCGCCACAAAAACACAGCCAGACGTCGGCACTCTGAGGGCAGAACAAATAGTGTTTCGCTGTTAAACGCTACAAGAAATACACTTTGTCGATCTCAGACACAGTCGTGGTCAGTCGGCCCCGCGGCGGCGTGTTGTGGGCTTCCTGATGGAAAGCCTCGGTGGAAGCCGGCGGGGAGCCGCAGTCAAGGACGTCTGATTCTGTTAATTGCTTCTCGGGAAGGGCGGACGTGGGCGGCGTGCAGAAACCAGAGGTGAAGAAAAGCTCTCCTTGTTCCACAATTAAAGGCTTGCTTGTGATGTTCAACACACACACACACACACACACACACACACACACACACACACACACACACACTCTGTTGTGTTTTGAAGGCAGCCACCTTGAAGACGACTTTGACCTCTTTAGTTTTCATCAGTGACGTCACATATCTCAGCCTCTTCACAGCTGACTGCCTGATTAAATACACTTATTTTAGGAATACACAACACATCCTCTAAATATAATATAATATAATATAATATAATAGAGAGAGAGGTGCAGAGATGATCTCTGCGGGGTTGAACCGGGACGTTGAGGCTCGTGGTCGTTAGGAGTGAGACTCACCAGAAGCATTATTAAAGATATTACCACGATACATAAGTCAACGATACGATATTATTGCGATTTTAATCTTTTTACGAAATGCTGATTATTGCAATAACATAAATGTTGCATCATGCACCTGAAAAACAGGTGTTTCTATTCCAGCCTGCTGACTTTACACCAGAGAACACTCGAGTGGAGTGAAGGAGCAATTGTTACCGAAAGGTACCAATGGTTTATATAATCTAATCGTATAATAATAACAATAAGATGGATCCTTGGCGTCCGTATATCGATACAATCTTGCCGTATCGATGGTCGTCATGGTGGCAACTCATTTACATGTTTCATTTACATCTCTTTCTATACAGACTGCAGAGATTGTGTTGTGGGCTCTGAGCGCTGGTAATTTGTAGATAACCCACGTGTATTTCTGACCCTGAACGCATCCTGTGTCGACGCTGCCGGAGGACAGAAACTGTAAATGTAATATTAATATTAAAGAATGTTTCTGCAGTAAATGTGTTTTTTTTTTTATTTGGTCCATTTTTATCAGTTACAGCAGAAAATACTTCTCTTGTATTATTCTGACAGTGAAGCACTTTTTAATTACGTTTAGAAACAACTTCTAGAACAACAAAGGTCACTATTATTACTACGTCAACACTCGGAGCCATGGCTCCATTAGGTTGTATATTTCTACACATCTCCTCTGATTCATTAGAACATGTTGTGAATGAAGCGTCGGCCTGGTTGATCCACCTTCTGTAGTCATTAAGAAGAGTTCCTGTTATTACAGGACAGATCTCTCATGCTGCTGCGTCTAACAAGCAACAAGCATTTCATTTCCCCTGAAGCGCCCGTGTGGGCCGGCAGTAATTGCATTGTTTGTCTCTGGAGTCCCGGCTGTGACCGTTGCTGTGGAAGTCGTTCACTGCTGCATTATTCTATCAGTAGAACTAGAACCTGCTGCTCGCTCTCCTGCCAGGACGGTGGAGTCCTGACTTCTGTAGGACTCGACTGACTTGTACACAAACGAGGTTTTTGTCTTTTCTGTAGAGCTGCAGGATCAGTGAGACAGCAGTGGGACATTTATTCAAATCAGACGGTTGTTTTTACATTTTGTTTACGAGTGACCTGCTGTGGTCCTGTGATTAATGACCGTCCTCCTTCAGCAGCAGGAGGTAGAACTGGTGATGATCTGTTCCAGCGTTGTAGAACTCCTTCAGACGGACGAACAGCCCCGTCTCCTACTAGATCATTCATATGTACAGTAAAGCCCAAACTCCTTACAATAGCTTTTATTCCCGTACACACCAATGCATTGGGAACACTGCACATTCTATTGCAAATCAAAACATGAAGAAAGAATTCTCAAATTTGTTGTTACTTTACAGAAAGTGAAGAAAAATAAATATTAGGCGACCGTGGCTAAGTGGAGAGCAGGGCCGTCCTTCAATCGGAGGGTCGGCGGTTTGATCCCCGGCTCCGTTAGTCGCATGTCGACGTGTCCTTGAGCAAGACACTTAACCCCAAAAGTGCTCCCGTAGTTGTGCCCACGCTGTAGGAATGTGATAGAATCTGAATTGTAAGTCGCTTTGGATAAAAGCGTCTGCTGAATGACTGTAACGTCATGTAGGCTGTCTGCGTTTGTCTTTACAAACTCAAACAGTTACTGTATGAACTGAAGAATGCTTGAGGATTCAGCTTTCCTGTGAATCACTGAACTAATATATTTAGTTGTATAACCACTGTTTCTGAGAACTGCTTCACATCTGTGTTGCATGGAGTCGACCACCTGTGAACAGGTAGTCCAGCCCAGGACGATTGGACTACATCCCACAATTCCTCTGCAGTTCTTGGTTTTGCATTTCTGATGTCACCCCACAGGTGTTCTATTGGATGAAGGGCCGGGGGTTGGGCTGGCCTCTCCATCACCTTCATCGTGTTGGTCTGGAACCAAGATGCTGCTCTGCTTCTGTGTGTTTGATGACAGAATACATCCTGTTTAGTAATGAATCCTGTTTCCACCTCTAATTAGAAAGATGGAATCATATCGATCATGTGACACCATGTGACATTATCCATTAATGCATCCTGTGTTCTGCTCTTCAGGAAGTAAGAATAACACAAGTGTGTGATATCCAGTGTACCATCAGACCTTTTGTATTGATTCATTGATCATTGATCGAGAGAAACACCAGAAGTGCAGGTTTCAGCTCCTGGTACACACATTTTTGGCAGTGTTTCCTTCTGTTGTAGACATAAACACACACACACACACCTACATTTCTCCTTTTTTTCTTCAGCGGCTCTGATGTGATTCTTTTTAAGTCTCAGCTCCATCTTTAGTCCGTCATTCTCCTCTCTCGTATATCGCGAAGCTTATTTATGTTGTTGCTCTCCCTCTGTCTGTCTGTCTGTCTGTCTGTCTGTCCCTCCCTCCCTCCCTCCCTATGAAGACTTGATTCTTGTACTGTAGTCTCATGTTCTAGACTCAATGAGCTGCTGTCAGTGCTCTGAACTTCATTTCAGGATACCTAGAGCTTATTTTATTTCATTTCTAAACACTCACTGTCTGTTTTCTTTGTCCTTGTCTGTCTGTGTCCGACAGGGCGGGGCACCCCAGCACTCCCTCGGTGGCGGGTCAGGATGGCGAGGAGAACCCGGCGGCGCTGGCTGAGAGCTGCTTCAGGGAGCTGCTGGGCCGGGCGGCCTACGGCAACATGAACAACGCTGTGAGACCCGTGCTGGTGTGAGTACCGGACGTTGGTGTATTGTTTTTACTCTTTGGTCAATAACTCCTTCGTCAAACAGGGATTTTTCTGTGTTTACAGCTTAAAACTGTTGTATTTCGGTGTTTTGGAGCTCCATGTGAAGTTTGGTGTGATTACACCTTTTCCTCAGTAAGTCACAGACATTTTTTGGGCGACTGTCCTGGGCCGCTTTCAGCACCATTGCTCGGACCGCGCCCATCTTCAAACTCGCCCATGTGACAATATGTGACTCCGGTGTAACGACATCAGAGCAGATCAGATGATAGTCGACCTTTCAGAGGCTTTGGTGTGACAGAAACCACAGTGTTTGTGTCCCAATCAGTTGAAAGCTACAAAATGTGACAATTGGGAGCATTTGTTTTGATTGCCTCCACATGGCTCTCAACATGGTGACAGCCTCTATCGGAGGGGGGGGGGGCTACGTTTCTACGCTCACATACACTAAAAGACACGCTCACATGCACTAAAAGACACGCTCGCATGCACGCTCACATGCACTAAAAGACACGCTCGCATGCACTAAAAGATATGCTCACATGCACGTTCACATGCACTAACATGCACGCTCACATTTTCTAAATCCTGTTTCAAGACGCCTTCTTGGTTTGCAGTAGCGAGCGTACGATGTGAGGATCTCTTGAAACTGTAAAGATGAATTAACTAAGCAGTGCATCAACGCTCTTTTAAAACTTAACCTCTCGGTGGGTTGTATCCCTCTGCGTGGCGCTACGTCATCTTCCAGCTGCTGCTGCTTTTTTCTCCGTTTTGATAAAAGCTTCTTTGTTTTTTTTTTGTCTTTCTGCTGTTTGTGTGACAGCGTGAGGCGTCTGTCTGCTTCTCCTCTCCTGTTGTTGGCGTTCTCCCTCAGAGGAGCCAGATTACATTTCAGGCATCTCTGTGTCCATATTTAGTTAGATTTACAAAGTATAAGAGGAAACAAAGCGTGGTTAAAACACCTTCTCACTCCACACGTGTCAGTTTCAGCTTGCAGAATCAGCTCACAGCATAGGCGTGCTTCATGTTTTAGGTGTATTTACACAACAGACGTATTTGGTTAAGCTTAGAAAAAGAGAGTGGTTTGAGGTTTGTTACTTAAAGCAACTGTCATTCAGCATTTGCATCTATACCGGCCGTAGTTTGCAGATGGCCCACGAAGTTATTTCCACGTTATCTTGAACGAGGAAGTATAAAAAACGCAACGGCACAGACAGGGCGGGAGTGGAGGTGTTTGGGTCCTCCAGCAGACCGCTGCTCCTTCCCCGTGTGAATCAAACGTTGATGTTTTTGTCACGTAACTTGTGTACTTCAGTAACTTAGTTATTTTAACCCAAAGTATCTTTTTACAAACCAAACTAAGTGGTTTTGTTCACACGTGTTGCTGGACTTTTGTAGGAAAATGCATGACAAATGAGGAGATATCATCATATGGTCTGTTGTGTGAGGATACGTTAAATAACTATATTTAAGAACTGAGGTAGAATAAGTGAAAGTGTGTCACGTGGGACTCGAGCAGCGGTCTCCTGGGTGAAAGTCTTGTGTTTGTGAGAACCATCCATCCACCATTCCTACGAAGAAAATGTACACAAAGATCTACCTAACGTCCTCGTCTCTGCTCCTATTGGCCGCTCTGCCCCCCCCCCCCACTCGGCACGCATAAATTGGACAATTACTTTGTGAGCGGCGAAACCCCGCTGAGGTTTCCTCGCTCTGCTGAGAGGCTCCGAGTGCAGGCTTCACTTCGCTCCTTACGTCCTCAGCTGCTTCATGCAGATATTTAAATTAGTGTTAAATTAGTGATGTCACTAATGGTTGGTTCTCCTCAACAAGTATCAGATCGATCGCTGGTAAATGTTGTGAAGACGTGCTAAATGCTACAAATGCAACATCTCTCACGTTGAAGTTAGGTTCAGGCAACAAAACCAAATTGTTTCCGAACAATTTGTTGATTAAGGCAACAAAACCACGAACCGTAGGCGTCTCTATATATCTATTATTATTATTATTATATCAGTATTATGGCTGTTAGCTACCTCACATCTCCAGAAGAAGAATGGAGTGTTTTTGCCAGTTAGAAGCTGTGATACTCGATGAATATAAGCCCTGATGTCTCCGTGTACAATCTGCTCTTTACTCTGTTTGTTGCTGCCGCTGAGTTCATATCAGAGAAGAAGAGGTGCCTTTATTATAAATCATGATCTGTTTTTAACGATATGTAATTCTACCACCTGTCTTTCCACTCCCAGATGTCAGCAGCAGTAACGCTTGTGGTTGACAGTCGTAATGTTGCGTGTGAGAAGTCAGAGGGGGGTGTTGCCTCTGGGGGCCATTGCTCAGAAATTGCATTTCCTTCTCCTTGTTTGTTCCTTTTTGTAATGACTCGGCATCGCTGCTGGATTAATAGTAGAGTCCTCTCTGGCTGAAGGGATAATGTGTCAGTCTGAACAACAGATCCATTACATCACCTTTAATTGCTGATGAGTCGGTGTCAATCGTCCGGAGGAAACTCAAAAGCATTCAACAGCCAGCAATATAATTCAGTCTTTTATTATAACTGTTAAAGATTAAAATGCAAAGGTTTAGCTTGACCTCAGTGCAGCTTTCCTTGATCCAGAAACAACATCACAAGTTGTAACAAGAGTTTATAACAATGATTTGGAACTCTGTGGTGTTGAGTGAAATGTTTTAACCGCTGTTAGAAACTCCCACCTGGACACAGGAAGTACCCCAATCTAACGGGCAAAGGACCATGGGATGTTAAGCCAGAATGGTAAATACATGTTAAAATGGCTCCTACAATAATACATCAGACATCCAATCTAAATAAAGGTATTGGAAATAAATCCCACTGGACATTTGTGTCTGCACTGAGGACACATCCTCAGTGCAACAGTAGAATACGCTTCAGTTCCTACGTCAAAGATTGCCAAAATCAAGGCTTCAAAGCTTCAGTCCACAAACAGCTGAGTGACGTCACGATGACTGCGTCCACTTCTTATATACAGTCCATGATTTTACCCAGCGACACTTCCTTTCCTCTCTGTTGACACCCACTCAGGGATCTTCTCAGGTCTGACACCCTACATGAGACATCTGTCGCACACACGCGCACGCACACGCACACGCACACGCACCTTCCTTCAGCCCTCCAATAACACGCGTTAAAAGCTGCAGATGTACTGAGTTTGTCACCGTCACACTTTTTGTGTGTTTTGGACAACGTGGTGTGTCACTGTCCCCCTCCAGCTCTGAACCAGTGACTCGCTGGCTCCATGCTCCCCCTGCAGGCCACATCAGCTGGTGCAATCACCTTTTGTCCTCGTGTCTTTGGTAAACCCGGTGAGTGATGAAGACGACGGGCTCTGGAGGGTGAAGCACACGGTTAACAAAGTGCTGACGTGTCTAAAAGTTGGTGGTGTGGTTGAGGAGAAGCGGTGCGTTCTGAAAAGTGTCTCAAGAGGGTCATGTTTTAAAAAAAGGTATGAATTTGGAACAGAATGCAGTCATCTGATGTCCCCTCTGCTCCTGTTAGTGGATAGTTAAGTGTGGCTCAGTGGAGAGCAGGGTCGTCCGTCAATCAGAGGGTCGGCCGTTTGATCCCCGCTCGGCTCGTCGCTGTGCCTGCGGTGTGTTAAAGTGCGTTGAGTGGTCAGAAAGACGAGAAAATTGCTTTACAAGTACAGTCCATTCACCATTCATATATGAAACTACTTTTCTTTGTTGGTGCAGCAGCGCCCCCGCTGGTGCATCAGTTACACTTCAGGAGAAAGGTGGTACTGCAGCCTGGGAGAGTCTCTTTGGTACAGAACATCTTTGGTGGATTTGTGGAATTACAGAAGCTGCTTGGACAGATTCAGGAATAGATTTTATTGGTGCCTTTGGCCGTTAATTAGAGCTGCGGTGTTATTTACCTTGTTTTTATGAATGCAGTTCAAATAATTCAGTTTTTATTTATTTGTCAATGTACAGCAATGTGAGCTACATCGTGTGTATGACATGTGCTGAGCTAGTAAAGATCATTACTGTTCTTTACTCCGTTCCATGAGTGTGAGGCGATACACGGCAGAAGACAATGATGATGGTGTGACATGTTTGCAGCTTAGATCTATAAGTGAATATTATAAAAGTGAAGAATGAGGCTTCATGCAGGTGCAGCTGAAGCTATGAGAGCAACAGACAGACAGACAGACTTTCATCTCTGCAGTCCAGTCTCTGATTATTTTTCTCCTCATTTAACAGACGCTTTGCTTCTCATCTGTGTGTGAAACCAGTTCTCCTAATACAGGGAGGAGGAGGAGGAGGAGGAGGAAAGGGGAAGCGTCTTTAGACTATAAATAGCAGGGATTGGGGTTAACAGTGGGGAGGGGAGGAGAGGGGGAGGAGGTGGGTTTTGGGGGTTTGGATTGACGTCATCTTGGTCAACGATTCTTACACAACCAGCTTCCTCTCAATCGCTCTGCTTCCTCTTGTTCCTGTCGTCTTCTCTCCACTTTCTTTTCCTCTCTGTCTGTCTCTCTTTGGCTCTCTGTCTCTCTGTCTCTCTCTGTCTTTCTGTCTGTCTGTCTCTCTCTGTCTCTGTTTCTCTGTCTGTCTGTCTGTGTCTGTCTGTCTCTGTCTCTCTGTCTCTGTCTGTGTCTCTCTCTGTCTCTGTCTCTCTGTCTCTGTCTGTGTCTGTCTCTCTCTGTCTCTCTCTGTCTGTCTCTCTCTCTGTCTCTGTCTCTGTCTCTCTGTCTGTCTCTGTCTCTGTCTGTCTCTCTCTGTCTCTGTCTCTGTCTGTCTCTCTCTCTCTCTGAATGCTTTCCTCCTTCTTTTCTCTCACTAACTCTTGTTTTCTTTGCATCAGTCCTGACATATTGTTGAAGATGCTGTGACTGTTTGTTTGAACAGATGTTTGTGAGTTCCGTGTGTCATGGTTCTGGTTCTGGGTTCTGATACTTCATTCAACATCTCAAGGAGGCGAGCTTCCCACTTTTCATTCAGCGCCATCGGTCTCTTTGTATGACATCACAATCAGCCTCAGCTGTCCTGTATGTTTAGTGATCAGCAAATGTTGTGTTGCTAACACCTTGAGATATGTTGGTAAGCATTATACGTACGTAGCATGTTAGCATGTTAGCATGCTGACGGTTTGTACTCTCGTGTACTCTTTGTTTTAGCTCCTTTCTCATCAGAGAATACAGATGTTTGTGAAGCTCCTCTTGCTGTTAGGTGTGTGTGTGTGTGTGTGTGTGTGTGTGTGTGTGTGTGTGTGTAACAGATGAGTTTAGCCTGAGGCTGCAGGTCGGCTCCCACAGAGATGAGTAAATCCGTCGTTCTCAATCTGCCACTCACACTCCTCTGCAGGTCTTCGACGCTCACATGATGTTTCATGTAACCTTTGACCTTTAGTGTCTCACCTCAGAGATGAAGAACATGTGGCTCTGCCTTCCCTGTTAATGGTGTCTTCCTGAGATCAACAGTGGGATGTCTCAGGTTCTCTCGTCTTGTTCTGTGTGATCCTCTGCTTCATCTAATTCTCTCCGTCTATCTCTGTCTCAGCTCTGTGAGCAGTTCAACAGCTGGGCCTCCTCATTTCCTCTTTGAAGATATCAATGATTGTTATAATATCAGATCTTATGACGTCATGGTGCAGAGATTCATTTGTATTTAAACCTCAAACCCCGCTCTCTTTACAAACTAGATGAATAAACATATGTTATATGTGTATTATCTTATATAGATGTATATTGATAGATTTGGTTTTGACAAGAAAACAAGTGAAATATTGTAGTTCTTCAACTAGAGACACGTTTACCTTTACACTGAAACATGTCTTATACCAAATACAGATCAAAATTACATTAATTTAACCACATTATTATCATTAATATAATGTGGTTATTATTCATATTTAAAATACTAATGCTAAATAATACAAATAACAATAATATAATAATATTAATTTACAAAGTGCTTTGACAGACACTAATAAAATAGAAATATATATATATATATATATATATATATATATTTCTATTTTATTAGTGTCTGTCAAAGCACTTTGTAAATTAATATTATTATATTATTGTTATTTGTATTATTTAGCATTAGTATTTTAAATATGAATAATAACCACATTATATTAATGATAATAATGTGGTTAAATTAATGTAATTTTGATCTGTATTTGGTATAAGACATGTTTCAGTGTAAAGGTAAACGTGTCTCTAGTTGAAGAACTACAATATTTCACTTGTTTTCTTGTCAAAACCAAATCTATCAATATACATCTATATAAGATAATACACATATAACATATGTTTATTCATCTAGTTTGTAAAGAGAGCGGGGTTTGAGGTTTAAATACAAATGAATCTCTGCACCATGACGTCATAAGATCTGATATTATAACAATCATTGATATCTTCAAAGAGGAAATGAGGAGGCCCAGCTGTTGAACTGCTCACAGAGCTGAGACAGAGATAGACGGAGAGAATTAGATGAAGCAGAGGATCACACAGAACAAGACGAGAGAACCTGAGACATCCCACTGTTGATCTCAGGAAGACACCATTAACAGGGAAGGCAGAGCCACATGTTCTTCATCTCTGAGGTGAGACACTAAAGGTCAAAGGTTACATGAAACATCATGTGAGCGTCGAAGACCTGCAGAGGAGTGTGAGTGGCAGATTGAGAACGACGGATTTACTCATCTCTGTGGGAGCCGACCTGCAGCCTCAGGCTAAACTCATCTGTTACACACACACACACACACACACACACACACACACACACACACACACA